GCAGATAACAACATCAAAAAGGAGGAGGATGAGAACATACAGAAGTACAATGGGGCCAAATGAACACACAAACACATGTATAGAGATTGACAGACCACGTGACTTGCACGCGTTGCATTGTAGGTACCAGTGGCAGCAAAATCAAAACACTGCATCAAGTGCTAGCATTTCCAGCACCGGTAACCATTCATTCTGCCGTTTTAATCCCTACTTGCATTTTATTTGCCCCCAAAACAGTTATGTACAAAACGAAGGAGAAAGCGGCAGGTCTGACACAGACAGACTTGATGAAAAGGCAAAAAAAAAAAAAAAAAAAAAAAGGTACGAGGAAAAAAAATCAAAGGAGTGAAAGGGTTAGACCCATACAAGCATAAGAGTGGCCGTTAGCGTGCTGCCCAGCTTTCATCACGCTCATATTTATAATTATATGGTCTTAAGTGTGAGTGCATACACTCATGAAGTGTTTAGTAACTTCAGATCCCTGCAACAAGCCCAGTTCCAGTTTACCGACGGATGGTTACAGGACACTGACATGTTCAGAATAGCCAGATATGTAGGTGGTTTTATTCTAAGTGAAGGGAAACCCCTCAAAAAACGGACAGAGCAGTGGAGTAGCCAAGGCAAAAGAACAATATAAAACTCGATTACGAAAATATAATTTATTTCACAATTTATTTATTTTTTAAAACAGTTAAACACCCCTGGCCAGGGAGAACACACAATAAAAACAACACAAAAAATCCAGTGGCGTCAGCCACAGCATTAAAATCCACTAAAATCGGAGCGAGGCAAAGAAAACCCAGCGATGTCCCCGGCCGTCCTGTCTCTTCGCTCTGGAGTACTGGAAGACAGAGGGGGCAGCGACAGTCACTGTTCTTTCCAGTGAAAGGGATTTCTTGTACTACCGTGTGTCTCAGGACTTACCCTGCAATCCAGTCCCTCCGTCATGTTGTCCGATCACCACAACATAACCTAATAGACCTACACCTTAGTTCACAGATTCACTTTGTCTCGGGTTTATTTCTGGGATTTCACACAACCCAGGATTCAAATCATGAATAGATAATGGACTTGGATTTACATCATTATGAATGAAATGCGCTCTATTTGGAAGCAGCCGCCCCCCTCCCCTTTCGATGGGTTGTGTGTGAGACTTTAAATCATCAAACTGTAAATTATAAATTGTTATTGAGCCCTTTACCCCTTTTGTTTTATTTTGCGAGTTGATTATTAGATGCTGCTCCAGCCAGCCCGAGAATCCCCCGCCGCCCCGCCCTCTCCTCTCTGCGCCGCAAGCAGCAGGCGCACCTCGCAAACGGAGGGCGCCCTTACTCCCAGCAAATGGGCGATAGAAAACCGCTCAGTGCCTGTGCCATTCCCAATATGCGCTGGCATGATGTCGGGGCAGCATATTTTTTCCCCCCGCATCTCAGAACAAAAGAGAGAAAGGATTCAAATTCTATATTTCTCAGTATTTGTATACAGCGGTCCCTCGTTTATTGCGGATGTTATGTTCTAAAAATAACCAGCGATAGGTGAAATCCGCAAAGTAGCCAACTTTATTTTTTACAATTATTATAGATGTTTTAAGACTGTAACGCCCCTCACTACACACTTACACTTTTCTCATACAGGCATGAACATTTTCACACTTTTCTCTGTTGTTTAAAACACTCTCAAAGTTCAAACCTTTGTAGAAAAATAAGTCGAGTATTATAGAAAGAAACCAAAGATCAAACCCTGTTTTCAGGTCCAGAACATGGGAATAGAGCAGCTGCGAGATAATTCAACATCAATGAATCAGCGATTGATGTAGCGATTCTGTACTGTGCAGGAGAGAGGGCACGGAGGAGATCGACAGTGGTCTGCAGCCAATCAGGACACAGAACACAATGCATTGTAAAAAAAAAAAAGCATGCAAAATTGCACTAAAAAAATCCACGAAACAGCGCAGCCGCGGAAGGCGAATGGCGTTATAGCGAGGGACCACTGTAATTTTGAAGGTAAGTCACAACATACCCTTTGTAAATACTAATGTATAGAAATACTTACCAGCACGATACATTTATTTTTTGTGGCTTTTTTTTCACGGTTTGTTGACATGCTGTGTAGGTGTGTACTCGGCTAGCTGATATCAACATAACTGGAAACATTTGACTATTGTTCACCTGTAGTTTGAATGCTGAACATTTGCCGATGTGTCTTCTCATTTTGTAATGAAGTTCTGCTTGTGTTGACTGATGTAAACAACCAATCGATCTACAAGCTTCAAAAGTCAAAATTGATCATTTTATTTTTTTTATGACAGCAGTGGTGAGTGGTTAGCATTATCTCGTGCACAGGGTCTATGGCCCGTGCGCACTGGCCACTCGTACCTACAATCCTTTGCGGTTTTACCCCGGAAATGACATCATATTTTCGATCTCTATAGAGATTGAAAATGTGACGTCATTCAGGGGTAAAACCGCAAAGGATTCTGGGAACGAGTGGCAAGCAGTACTAGCACATGAAAACAGTCACACAGCGATAAAAAGAAACACAAAAAATGGCAAGAAGATGTTGTATTATTAACTGCAATAGCCGGTTGCATGACAGCCACGGGAAGCCGACGGGTAAAGAGATCGTTGTTATCGGATTACGTAGTGGAAGAGAAATTGTTCGAGCCATGTTTCCGAAGTAACAGAACCGACGGATGGCCTGGATTGCAGCCATTCGAAGACCAAACATAACGTCCCAGAACACTCCAGCTCACATGTTAGTCTGCTCCAAGCATTTCCACAAAGGTAAGTCTTCTGTTGTAGTTACTACGTAATTTATCATAACATAATTGTTGATGTAGGTTACAAATAAGTCTTAATTTGAATTGAATTCGTTGCGCTATGCTGCTTTGTTCACTGTGGCTTTGCGGGCTAATGTTTGTTGTGTTTTGTAGGAAAACCGGCCTACAAAATGCTGGAATGCGATCCAGACTGGGCCCCTCTATCAACCTGGGTCATACCGAGTGTAAAGCTGCTACCACGGCGAGATTTGATCGGTTAACAGAGACAGCGATATCAAAACAGCCACGAAAAGTCCCGCATATGTGTGCCCAAGTGTTGTATTGAAGCAATCAAGAGATGAATAACGGTTTTCCAGTATGTTGTTTTGAAATTATTATTTTTTTTGCATTGTTGATTTGTTTTTCACCGAAGCAGCTAATAAAGCATAATGGAATACAATTTTGCCTCTTTCTTGTAAGATTCTATAATAGAATGAAACAATAATGCCAGTTATAAATACAGATAATAAATTGAATGAATTACGAAACACTCATTTTATTTCTATTAGATCTGAAAATGTTGTGTAATACTACAACCTGAAACGATAAATAGATTATCTCCTGCGCAGGCCAACGCAAAGGGAAAAAAATTAACAACAGCTGTGAAATGGAATAGTCCAAATCACCAAAGTAAACTGGACCTGGGCTTGTTGCAGGGGTCTGAAGTTACTAAACATTTTGTGAGTGTATGCACTACAACTTAGGACCATATAATAATAAATATGTGCGCGATGAAAGTTGGGCAGCACGTCCTTACTCAACTCTGTATGCTCGTATGGGTCTCACTCCTTTGATTTTTTTTTCCTCGGCTCTAGATCAGAGGTCGGCAACCTGCGGCTCTTTAGTCCTTATAGTGCGGCTCCTCGTTGTTTGGTAAAATAAATTAGAAGTATTTAGCTGAAGTGTATTTTGTTTATGTTACAAGTCCCATTGTAAACGTATCACGGCAGACCCGACGATGTTTACATGAACACGCTTTACAGCATCTCTTTATTGACCACTAACGTTGCAACCGACAACACAGCACGTTCGCTTTGTTTGGCCTACTAACATGGCGACTCGACCAAACAACCTGGTCACGCCCCCTCTCGTGACATCGCGCTCCAAAACCCTATATGTCCCTTCCCATTGCTTTTCTTAATTTTGATATTACTATCACTGTTTTCACAAAAAACCCAGAACAAACAAACAAACAGCAAATCCTCAATGATAGATTTTTTTAATGTTACTTTTATTTAACATCCATTGGTATGGCTCAGAAGCAGAGAAGTTATGGTACTTTTCACCCACTGAAAACATTTGTTAAGATGTGAAAGCAACAGTTTGATGCTATATCAGGTAAGAATCGAGAACACAGCATTTGGTGACGTTTGCTGTCAGGGTTTTGTTAAAAGAAACCAGTAGCCAGGCTTCTGCTTGTCTGAATGCTGTCATTGCATCCTGTTTTCACTTACATTTCACACAGACCTATTTCAGAATCAGAATCAGAATCAGAATACTTTATTCATCCCGAGGGAAATTAGGGGTTACAGCAGGCAGCACGCTAATGGCGCATGCGCACTCACAAAGGAACCTTCTGACCAACTTTACACAAACATCACATTGGGCAGACATGTCAGAAGGTAGGCTGATAGGAAAAAAAACAACGAAAATACACTACATGAGGTAAGAGGAGGAGAAAAAAAACTCCACTCAGACTGAGCTCCTAGTGGGAGAACAATTTATTTATAGTCTAAATAGTAGTAACGATTAATCCAACAGCAGAATGAAATATTAATAACCTGTAAACTGGGCAGCGTCAGGTTCAGTGTCACAGGTGTTCAGTGTTGCTTTGGTCTAGTTAAATCCGTTAGTGGTTTCCTGTCTGAGATGGTCGGAGGGGGACCTCCACACTTCGTGCTCGGTACGGGGACTGCTATTCTGGTTCGTGTTAGTAGACTGGTGCGCCACTCTTTGACTAGCGGTTGCGTAGCTTACGTGAATGTTTTGTCGTAGCAGAGGCCCAGGTAAAAGGAAGTGGTCCCCCGTGGACGAGTAGCTACCAAATCGGGACGAGAGTAAATGGCACTTAAAATATTCAACGAATGAGTTTAAGCTAATCGAGGTGATAATCAGAAAAGCATCCAGTGGTGAGTTTATAGTCGAGTTGCTTGTTTCTTCTTTGTAAAATACTGCTGTGGTGTTTGGCCTCGCTAGCTGTTAGCTAGCTGGCTGACATGATGATGGTGCATGGTGGCCGCAGTAACCGTACAGATGTTGCACTACATTTAACGCTGTAAATTTCAAGTGAAGCCATGGGTCAGATTCGCCTGTAGCTCAGGGACAATGCGAGGAAAAACACACAGCCAGGCCATTTACCGCCGCAATACACAGGCCCAGTCTTTCATTTATCGTGTGCTAGGCATGCTACGTTCACTTACTGTTTTGGCCGCTGTGAAAAGGTTTTCATTGCAATTGTACAAGTCTCTGCTCAATCGGCAACGCTTTGTACAATGCTAACGGGTTCTTAGAGACGTTTGGTTCTTTACATCATAGTGTAAGGCAGCATTACGTAAATAAGTTATTTTTTGTAATATGGCACACTTAGCAGTAGCTATCGTTGTACTTTTATAGCAGTTCTCAGGCCAGGGACTTTAAAGTTCTCGTTTTCTTCTAGTACATGTTTTTAAATCACCAGTATTCAAATGTTTACTCAAACTAATTTAATGTCGAGTTCGTGTGCATCAGCTCGACTGGTTGTCTGAAGGTGTTCGGTGGAAATGTGACATTTAGCTGCTAACTAGCCATCCAACACACATTGTGCTCTTTGCCACTTGCTGACAAGTGGAGAAATGCCAGAGTTCGGCCTTGGATTTAATGTAACAATTTAACGTAATATAGAACCTGGGAAGTGGACTTCAATTTGATCAACTAATGATGAAACTGGGACAGCATGGCGGTTAGCACTGTGGCTCACAACAAGAGTCCTGGTTCAAATTCACCATCTGGCCTTACTGTGCAGAGTCTGCGTTGGCTCTCCTCCCACCATCCAAAGACTTGCAGTTAGTGGGGTTGGGTTAACTGGTGATTCTAAATTGCCCATAGCTGTGATTGGCGACATGTTCAGCCACCTCTTGCCCTAAGGCAGCTGGGATAGGCTTCAGTCCACCGCAACCCTGAAGTGGATAATCAGAAGAAAAAGATGTTTTGTGATTTACCACCACCTTTTCAACGGCAAATTATATTTTTTACTATATTCTGTTTTTTGGCTGCAAAATGAGATTGTCAAGCACGCCTAAACTGCTGCTAAAACTTCCCACAAGATAAAGTCAGTCTGCTAAATCATTTGTGACACTGGCGTTGGTCATTGACAAAGACTCATTCAGACTGATGACAACATGTTGGCAGTCTGTTCCCTTTGATAACTTAGCAATTATTTGCTTCAACAATCTCTCTCTGCGAGTGACTGCTGTCAGTCTACTTTAGAAAAAATGCCTCTTATCAGGCAACCTGTGCAATCGCCTTGCGATCAGGAGTGGTTGTGAGTGTGCCACACTCAAACTCTGGGCAACCATTTAGTCATCACAAGTTGCAGTCGGTTTCAGAACGTAAAAAAAAGTCAATACGGTTTCCAGGTACCCAGTGATATATTGTTTACATTTTTATTATTAATTTTTCATTTTTGTGTAGATGTAAGCAGGTTAACACATTAGCTTCCTCAATTTTGTGATCCAAACAGTTAGCACCATGCACCTGTGTGTTTACATCTGTGTGGCCATTTTTGAGGTGGACTTTGTCCCATGATAAGCCACACAGAGGTCCACACTTGGTTTATAAATGCTACAGAATTTGAGCTTTTCTTTCTTTCTTTCTTTCTTTCTTTCTTTCTTTCTTTCTTAACCTTTTTTTCTTTCTTTCTTTCTTTCTTAACCTTTTTTTCTTTCTTAACCTTTTTTTTTTTTCTACCTGCATGTTGACATCTTGTATATGAAATGTTAAGGCTTCCAGTATTTGCGTTACCAGTGTGGTCTGCTTTAATTTCAAACACTTACTAGATTTGTGTATGTGAAAGACCTCACTTCAGGCCTGTTGTGTCAGGTTGTAATCTTTTAAATTGCAAGCAAATGTGAACTGCTTCATTTACAGCAAGAAATGCTTGCTGCACCAAGCTGACTGCTGGGAATGGTTATAGCTGCCAGGGCTGAACAGCCTTCAGGCAAGCGTCAGGTGGTCTGGTGACGATTTCAGGTTTAAGATGTGTTGAAAAGTAGTTGATTGATGGATCAGAATAAATGATTCTCATTTATAGATTACTTGAATCTTATTGACTGAGCTATGTTTGAAATACATGATCATAACAATGTTCTGATTTCTCAGGTCTGTTTTGAGCCAAATGTGGGGAAGCATTAGGAGCTGAAGATATATTTTATCATGAAGCCCAGATTAACATTTGTCTGCCTAGCCCATGTGTCTCTGTTATCAGTAAGTATTTATTTATTTTTGCATTTTCCAACATATACTTAGCCATTCTTAAGTCTTAAATTTAACTTGTTTATACCTTAAAACACCCTAATGTTATGTCTGTCATTTGCAGCACCCTAACAAAATCTTTTCATGTCCACTGCCAGTGAACTGTTGAAAAGAAGAGGATGACGAAATGAGATAAAGTGGACGACTGGAGGAGCCTTAGCCCCCTCACCTCCACCAGTTTGAAGCATGGCTGGCCTACAGCTTGTTACTCCTGCCACCTCACCCATGGGGCCTTTCTTTGGTCTTCCATGGCAGCAGGAGGCTATTCATGATAACATTTATACACCTAGAAAATATCAGGCAAGAAGGCTACAATTCATGAGCATTTGAGTGATCATTTATTACTGCTGATTTCCTGTGTGTCTTATTATTATGTTTGTTTTAACTGATTAGACGAAATAATAAAAAAAAAAAAGAAGGGCTCCTATGGCTCTAGTGCAGTCAACTCTATCTTTAGTCTTTACTCTGTGGTCTTCTGAGCAATGTCCGGAGCACAGGATGAGCATGGAAGGCAAACGACCACATTTGCTGTCAGGAGCAAAGCTCAGCTCTTCTGAAGATATGGAGGCAGACATCACTGATGTTGTACAAAGCACAATCCTATGAAAGTGTGCTCCAAGTATCATACATCTTTCTACCAGTAGCAAAAAAACTGAACAAGTAGCATAAGCGGCAAAGCAGGCATTCAGTGACCTTAGCAGAGGTACAGCCACAGGACTAGGACAAGTTACCGAACGGCCACTTAATTGCACAAACCTGTCAATGGAAAGCAATGAAACTAACACCTTTGTTTTGTAATTAACAAGGGAAAGTGAGGACTCAGAATTGTCATTTGAATGTGCCATATTTTGCCATATAGACTTTTTTTTTTATCTGTAAGTCTTTGCAGTTTGATGGCTTATTTAAAAAAAACAACCCTAAAACAATAAAAAAAACAAAAAAGTAACACACTTATATAGGGACATTAATGATAAAGAAAGCGTACAATATCGTAGTTTGCTTGTGTAGTCATTCCTCAGGATTTTGAGATGTGTATATTGACCTGTAATTGTCATAAGTAATCCAGTACTCTAATTTTAAAAGACATCTACTACTTTTGTAGTAGATGTCTTTCACCCTGTTTTTATACCAAGGTGTTTTTTTTGTTTTTGTTTTCTTTTGGGGGGTGGTGGGGGGTGTCCACATATGTATACCAGTTCCATGTACTGGTTATCAGTCTAACTCATAATGCTGGAGTCCTTTTCCTGAGTAATACTTGCTGATTGCTTATGGCTCAAAAAGCAGAGGAAAAAAAGGTTCAGGACTATGACATGTGAACGTTCAATTATTCCATCACACACCTTAGTATATTTTAGTGGTAGAAGTATTAACAGAATTTAAGTTATAAATAGTGCTAGATCACACTAATCAGAGTGTTCTGGATGTTGGTTTTGAATCATTTTTGATGAACTGCCCAGCCTTAGTGATCAGTGATCCCCAGTAGTTTTAAAAAGCACTGTGCTTTGTCACTGTGTCCCTAGTTCTGCTATGGGCTTGCGGTCTCTAAATGTGAAACTGCCTCCACAGGTTGAACTTCTTGAAGCAGCTCTTGAACGCAATACCATCGTCTGCTTGAATACTGGCTCAGGGAAGACCTTCATTGCAGTACTTCTAACAAAAGAGCTCTCCCACCAAATACGTGGACCTTACCAAGAAAATGCAAAGAGGACTGTTTTTCTAGTGAACACAGGTACCTGTGCCAGAAATGTCTGTGAACTTGTTGTTTATTCGGATTCAGCTGGTGTGACATTGTGCTTGATTTTTGTCTGTGTGTCATTCTGTATCTCTGCTCTGTGCTCCACAGCTGCTTCTGTAGTTCAGCAAGCAGCTGCAGTCAGGACTCACTCTGACCTCAGTGTGGGAGAGTATACAGATCTGGAGGAGACCTTAGCATGGACTGACCAACGGTGGAGTCGACAGATAATAGAAAATCAGGTGTGCTTAAGCTGATGCTAGTTGCATGCTGGGATGCTCTTACAAGTTTGTCTTCCTTTACACACAGACTTGGAGAGTAAAACAAACTGTATGAAGGGCAATACTGGTTGGATACAATAATATGTCAGATTGTTCATCTTTTTTTCACCCTTTTAACATATTTATACAAACTAATTGTTTTAGCTTCTTTCAGTGTACTCACTTTGAATGTACACAATATGAAACTGGGTCCCATTTAAACACAGATGGAAGTTAAACTTTGGTCATTGTTGTTCCTGAATGTCATCACATTCACATAATAAGCCAACAGCATCCAGTTAAGCAAATATTGTCTGATGCCAGTGTTTTTCTCAGAAACACCATTACTTTGTCATAATAAAAATAATATCTGTACTTGCATTTCTTTTTTCATACCTTTAAACACTGACTTATTGGGCATGGTAAGCCCAGCACTCTGTTTCCCTTCATGCTTCAGGGGGACTCTAAATCCTCCAGTGTACTTTGTCTGTGATTTCACTGGGGTCTGCTTGGGACAGGGTGATAATTGTGTCATTAGATCGTGAGTGCGAGGGTGATTGCAGATGTTTTTGTTTTGTTTGGTGACTGTTCAGATTTGGCTGTGGACAATTTACATTACATACATGGCACCAAATACACATCCAAGGAAGGAGAGCAGGAGAGAGAGAAAAATAGAGATGTATATCTGATAGTTAGATATCCTGTACTCACTGTTGGTAATAATCTATTCCATTGTCCTTGTCACTTTCTGTAAGGTGCTGGTCATGACTTGCCACATATTCCTTCATGTTCTGAGGAATAAAATCTTACCATTGTCGAAAATCAACTTGGTGGTGTTTGATGACTGCCACCTGGCCATCACAGACCACCCTTACTGTCAGATAATGAAGGTGAGATTGTAGTCTTTAAGGAAATGGGATTACGTTTATTGTAATAGTGGCAGAGAATCATGCAAAATCATTGTGGGTGACCTGGTTGTCCTCTGTGTGTGCAGCTGTTTGAGGGCTGCTCCTGCACTCCTCGTATCCTTGGTCTCACGGCTTCCATTCTGAATGGAAAGTGTGACCCATCAGAACTGGAGCAGAAGATTCAGAATCTGGAAAGAATCCTTAAGAGCAATGCTGAGACTGCTACTGATCTTGTGGTCCTGGACAGGTAAGCCTTATAACTGCGTGCATTTGACACTTTCCTCGGCTTAAGGCGCTCACATAGCAGGCGCTGGGGTGAGCATGAGGTTCAGCAAAAATTTGCTTCGACTAGCCACTTGCAGGTTTATACTGCTGTGTAGGACTGGGTTTTGTCACTGATTTCTAGAATCGATTCGATACCGATTCAATTCGATTTGAATCTGGGAAATTTTGAGTCAGAAATATTATAATTCAGATCAGTACATTTACATATTTTTGTATCTATTAAAAGGAAGCTGACACACGCAAGACTTTATCAAAGGTGTGAGCATCACAGCAGATGTCTTTGTGTCAAAGTAGCTGAAGATAAAACACAGAAAAACATGAAGGTGATTTTCCTGGCCTGGATTTTATAAAAATATTCTGCAGTACATCAAAAACGAAAGAAAACCATTAATCAACATATGAACGTTACCTCTGACATTACAGCGGTTTTATTAGAGACACAGCTAAGCGTATTGCATGTTGCATAATTTTAAAAAGTTTAAATTTGTTCAGTATTGAACGGCAGAAATTAGGTTTTCTTTTCGGAAGTAAGTAAAAGGGGAAAAAAAGCAGCGGCCGACAGCCTGTAAACAACAGTAGACTTGTGCGTAACAAGCAAGCGAATAATGCAGAAAACAGATTTTTAGACGGGAAACTGTTCTTGAAGTACAGAGAGAGGGCTGTGCATGAAGTGTGATTTTATCGTGGTGGAAGCAAAACAGCAAAAGTAAGAAGGAATTCATGACGATGTTTATGTGAAGCATAGTTTGGATCTTCTTTTGCTGCTGGTTCAGTCAATATTGTTTGGAGAGAGATAAAACTTACAGCTTTAGAATCAGCGTAAAAGGGCGTGAAAACAAAGCGCGGACCCACCGAAACATCAGAATCAGCGAGCTGTCGGCTTTCAGCCCCGACCGTGTCCGTGCCGTCGGGTGAGAAAGGCGACATCTCACTGATTCTGATCCGCGGGTCCGCGCTTTGTGTTTACGTCTTTGTGCAGAAGTCGTGTTCCTGCTCTCATTTACCGTTTTAGCTGTTTGGTGGTTGTTGAAAATTTGTGAGGTTTCACCTGAGATTCTGCCGTTTCGGGCAAAATAAATTTATATTAAAAAATCGATTCAGGATTTTAATGAATCGATTTTCACATTATCCAAGACAGAATCTATTTTAATCGATGAATCGATTATAAAAACCCACCCCTACTGCTGCTACTGTGTGTCTGTTTTTTGTTGTTTGTTTGTTTGTGTTTTGTTTTTAAAACAAAAAATAGGGCTAGGGTTCTAATTAGGGATGGGAATCGGGTTCTCTACAAGAACTGGTTCCCAGTTGTCCAGTTGCTTGGAATTGTTAGTGCCTATCGGTTCTTGAGCTCTCACTACAATCAGCTGATTTCAGTTCACATGTGAGAGGAGGAAAATAGTGGAGTGGTCTATAACCTGAATATAGATGTTACTTTTATTTTTATTTTTATTTTGGTGAAGCCAGCTGCTGCTGAACTTCAACAGGTAACAAACTAATGAGCAGTCAGGCTGCAGCCTCCGTTTCTACCAGTTCGTGTTTCCACAGTAGAATCACTGTGACCATCACTTTGAAGTGTCTTTGTGCTGGTTTTCATCTTTGTTTTGTGTCTAAACTGAAATACTAAGAGAAAAATCACATATGTACTCATTAGGGTGTAATTAAGTAATGTACTGCATTACTTTTAAGTGTTCTGTGTAATACCTTTTTTACTTTTTCAATAATGACTCCAACACTGATCACAACAAAGATGGAAAATTTGACCACACAGCATGTAATTAATTTGCATGAATATATTGTCATTGATATGCTGCGTAGAGATGATGCTGACTCTGTGAAGCCAATGGGAATCGATAAGGAATCTAATCGATAAGCGATATCGACAATGGATTTGGAATCGCTAATTTCTTATCAATTCCCATCCCTATTTATAATAGTGTGAGAAAGTGTTTGCGCCCTTCCCGATATTTAAATAGTAGACACAAAGATAACACAAGTAAACACAAAATGCAGTTTCTAAATGAAGATGTTTATTAAGGGGGGAAAAATTCAAACCCCCACTCCTTCATTATAATGTAAATTAACTGTGGTGTATCACATCTTTGGAAAGCAGAGTTCAATTTCTCTAGCCACAGTCAGGCCTAATTACTGCCACACCTGTTCTCAATCAACAAATCACTTAAATTAGACCTGCCTGACAAAGTGGAGTAGACTAAAAGATCCTCAAAAGCCAGACATCATGCCGTGATCCAATATTTCATCAGAACAAATGAGAAACAAAGTAATTGAGATCTCTGTCTGGAAAAGGTTGTAAAAGCCATTTCTAAAGCTGTGGGACCCCATCACAAGTAATGAAAACATGGAACAGTGGTGAACCGACTAAAATTACAAGAATGCAGCAAAGACTCATCCAAGAGGTCACAAAAGACCCCACAGCAACAACCAAAGGACTGCAGGCCTCATTTGGCTCAGTTAAGGTCAGTGTTCATGACTCCAGACACCCTGGAGTCACCACCTGAGTCAATATCTGAACCCCTGTAGCTTTGTGGGGTGGCTGTAGCTCAGGTGGTAGAGCAGGTCACCTACTATCCGGGTGGTAGGTGGTTCGATTTCAGTCTGCATGCCAAATATCCTTGGGCAAGATACTAACCCCATGTTTGCCCTCCGATGGATGCATCGGAATGCGTGTGAATGTTGTTGTTGTTAATAATAATAATAGTAATAATAGTAATAACTTTATTTATAAAGCGCTTTCAAATAAAGTGCTGTACAACTAAAGGGATAAATGAAATAAAAGTGATACATAGCAATACAGGTAAGAGACACAATACAAGTTAAAAACAATAAAAATTTAAAAACTAAAAGCCATATAATTAAGACATGTAGGATAAGGTGAACAAATGTGTCTTCAACTTAGTTTTAAAAACCTCCACAGAGCATGCCTGCTGAATATCTTGAGGGAGGTTGTTCCACAGAAACGGGGCACGAAAAGAAAAAGCTCTCCAATTGTCTTTTTTCTGGCTCTAGGAACTTTTAGAAGGCCAGAGTCCTGAGATCGTAGAGCACGAGATGGAACATAAAGGTCTAAAAGGTCGGAGAGGTATGAAGGTGCCAATCCGTTTAAAGCCTTGTAGGTGAGCAGCAGGACCTTAAAATCTGCTCGAACCTGACAAGGTAGCCAATGCAGAGATCTCAGAACCGGGGTAATGTACTCAAATTTCCAGTTCTTGTTAAAATGCGAGCAGCTGCATTTTGCACCATCTGTAGACCTCTAAAACTTTTCTTTGGTAGGCCAGAAAGAAGAGCATTGCAATAATCAATGCGGGAAGACACAAATGCATGGACAAGAACCTCCGCAGTGTCGCTTGACAAAACTTGTCTGATTCTGGCAATGTTCCTCAAATGATAAAAGGCGGTCTTTGTTATCTCTTTTACATGAGATTCGAAGGAGAGCACCATGTCGAACCACACGCCCAAGTTTTTACCTTGTTCCTGCAATTTATGGCACTGTCATCAATTTTCAAGATGAAATTTTGGGACAAGTGCTGAAATTTGTGTGGCCCAATGACCATCAACTCTGTCTTATCAGTATTTAGGAGCAAGAAATTATCCAATAACCAGCCCTTAATTGCAGATAAACAGCATTCTAGTTTAGAGACTTCAGCACAATTTCCAATGGTTAAAGGAACATAAAGCTGCAGGTCATCAGCGTAACAATGAAAGGTTACATTAAAAGAATGTAAAAGAACACCAAGAGGCAGCAGGTACATAGAAAACAGCAATGGTCCAAGTACGGACCCCTGAGGGACCCCATGCCTCACTGCACAGGTCTCAGAGAGATCATTTTTGAAACTAACAGTCTGAGACCTCCCAAGCAGGTAAGATCTCAGCCATGATAAAACATTTCCTGTAATTCCAATAAAATGTTCAAGCCTATCCAATAAAATGCAGTGATCCACAGTGTCAAACGCAGCACTTGGATCCAGCAGTAATAAAACTGAAGTGCGATCATTGTCTGCATTTACCAGCAGATCATTTACCACTTTGACTAAAGCTGTTTCTGTGGAGTGATTTGGTCTAAAAGCAGACTGAAATGGTTCATACAGATTGCTTGTTGACAAATGCTCAGTGAGCTGCTTAAAAACCACTTAGACAGAAAGCAGTTAGGAACAGCACAGAAAAAACTGCTGGTGTGAATGTACACGTGTGCTCAGAGTAGAAAAGCGCTAAATAGGAACGGGTGTTTTGCTGCCTCACGACCTGGAAGACTTGGTAAGTGGAACCTGCTGTCTACCAAAACACCTTGAAGGAGAATGTCCAATCATCTGTTTGTGACCTCAAGCACTTGGGTTCTGCAGCAGGACAATGATCCAAAGCACTCCAGCAAGTCCACCTCCGAATGGCTTAAGAAGAACAAAATGTAGACTTTGGAGTGGCCAGGTCAAAGTCTTGACATGAATCCGTTTGGGACGCATTGCCCTCAAAAACCCTCCAATATGGCTAAATTACAACAATTCTGCAAACATGAGTGGGTCAAAATTCCTCCAATGGCAAATGCTTGATTGCATTTGTTGCTCCTAACGGTGGCCCAACCAGTTATTAGGTTTAGGGGGCATTCAGTTTTTCACACAGGGCCATGTAAGTTTGGATTTTTTTTCTCCTTTAATGGTAAACAGCTTAATTTAGAAACTAAATTTTGTGTTTACTTGTGTTTGTTTTAATATTTAAAATTGTTTGATGATGTGAAACATTTAAATGTGACAAACGTACCAAAATATAGGAAATCAGGAAGAGGGCAAACACTTTTTCACACCATTGTATGTGACACATGTGAAACTAGACTGAAAACCAGTAATGGTGGCAGTGAAATGCTCACAATACAGGGTCTTGTTTTAGATACGCCTCTCAGCCAAGAGAAGTGGTGTTGGACTGCGGTTCCTACGTGGACAAGAGTGGCCTCTCCTCCCGTTTGCAGGCTGAACTCAATGAAGCTCTTCACTTCCTGAATGACTGCAACATATCTGTGGTCAAGGAGGACCGTGATCCCACATTCATCTCCAAACAGGTCAGAGTTCCAAAGGTTTTCTGCCTTTTAAAATTTAGTGTTTCTTCATCTCAGTTTTATTTATCCTACGGTTATTTACTTCATCATACTCTGGAGGTGGTTTCTGTGCCTCTCACTAACCGCAGAAAAGACCAGCATCGTTTTTGCAGGTTTTGTATATTTGTACACGAAGGTTGGGCGATATGTCAAAATTTTCCAACCAACAACCATCAGTCCAATAACCAGCGATAGTCACGCAGGTCAGTTTTTGATGGGTGACCAATGTAATCGTACACAGACTGATTTGCGCATTCAGAATTTGTTTTGTTTGGAGGGAATATTTTACCTTCTTTTCTTCTTTCTTTCAGGATTAATATAGTTTTTGGAATATTCATTTATTTATTTAATTGAGATGCACCAACTTGCACAGAAGACTGTACATTACGTTGGCGTTTTTTTTTTTTTTTTTTTAACTTTTTTTAAATTTATTTTTAACTTTTGGTTTAATTTTGTATTTGTTGTTTGGTCGAGTGTGTAAGTCAGACAAACACTGGAACGGCCTGTAAACACGGTTATAGTGGAAAAAAGAAGGCAGTTTCTCTTTGTTTCCCTCCTCACCATTGTGGGTTTTTTCTTAATTTAAATAAAATGTTTTTAATTTTTTTCTGAACGTAGGCTACTGCCTTTCTTTTTTACTGTTATGAGTTTGAGTAAATGAATTGCTGCATTTGTTTGCAGCTAGAAGAGGATGCTGTTAAAATAGTGTCATTATTTTTTTCGTTGACTGCTTCTCTTAGCTTCAACCAACATTATTAGAAAACTTACTCATGGGCAAATAAATAAATAAATAAATTGCTCTTGTAAAAACGATGGGTGAAAGCCTCAGCCTGTCGGTGATAGTCGATATATACGTCCATGCCCAACCTTACTGTACACCCATGTGTTGGACTCATCAGGCTGTTGCTTTATGCATTTTCTGATCCCTGAGCGTTAACCATCGATGTAATGCCTGAATTATTCTTCAGCACTAAATCTAAGACATAGGTGGATGTGCGCCTCCCGAGAAATGTAACTACTCATCGGGCCGATGCAGTCAGCAGCTATTATGATTTCAGCACCATTAGTGGATTCTTCGCCGCACTTTTTACCTCTCAGCCATAAAATGTTGTGGTATTGTCGTCACCATGCCAAAATTGATACCATACTAGAAGGCTGAAGGGTACAACTGCCAGTATTTTTGAATTCATCAGTGAGAGAATAATGGTCATCATCCCTGGATAAGGAATAATAATTTTATTATCAATATAAGGGAGGTTGCTGAAACAGTCATAATGTGGTATACTGGGTATACCTGAGAAGATTTTGTAATTTGCCATGCTTATTTGGGAGATTTTTACTGGTGGCTATCCAGCCATGATGATGGAAAAATGTCCCCAGAAAAGATTCTAAAATTACAAGTAGAAAGGTGAGCTGTAGAACAGCCTACTCTGTGAACTTGTTGTTTATACTGTGCCCTTCCCGTCCAGGTCCTCAATGACTGCCGGGCCGTACTGCAGGTGCTGGGGCCCTGGTGTGCAGATAAGGCAGCAGGCATCATGGTGCGCGAGCTACAGAAGTACATCAAACACGAGCAGGAGGAACTCAGCCGCAAATTTCTACTCTTCACGGACACTATTCTGCGCAAAGTGCACGCTCTCTGTGAGGAGCATTTCTCCCCCGCCTGCCTGGACCTCAAGTTTGTCACGCCAAAGGTCCTACGGCTGCTTGAGATCCTGCACGAATACAAGCCGTTTGAGCGGCAGCAGTTTGAAAGTGTGGAGTGGTACAACAACCGCAACCAGGACAACTATGTGTCCTGGAGCGACTCTGAGGATGAAGATGAGGATGAAGAGGTGGAAGCCAAAGAGAGGCCTGAAGCTAACTTTCCCTCTCCATTCACAAATATCCTGTGTGGAATCATCTTTGTGGAGAGGCGTTATACAGCTGTTGTCCTCAATCGGTAAGGACTTCAAGGAATAATTGCTTCAGCTTAGAGACTGGTGTTATTTCGTGTGTGTCAGTCAGTCAGTGCTGCAGACATCAGAAGGAAACTGGAGTAATACCAGCAGGAGAGAGCACTGACTCGTGGTTAATCTGCCTGTCATAGTCTGTAATTAGTGGACCTAAATGGATGATATCATATAAAATTCGTCTGTGTTTTTACAATTTTTCGAGGTGTTTAAAAAAAGAAGAAGTATTTTTAAAGCAGTAACAGTGAGGCAAAATAAGATACACTGGCTAGCTTAATGATCGTAGCTTTGGGATTTTAAAAAAATCCCCGGTGTTTAGAGCCATTGAGTTTACATCTTAAGGTACCAAAATACCCTTTCTGTTCTTACTTTGGTGGCTGAGTGATAGAGGCATGTGGTGAGAATGAACGCGCCCTCTAAATCGTCAGTGCAGCAGGTAGTTGGTGATAAATCATAAAAGTTTGGAAAGATGGCGTCTGTTGTTTGACTGGCTGCATGTTTTTGTCCTTGGTGAGTTATCACTGACACTCTTTCTGTTCTCCAGTCTTATCAAGGAGGCAGGGAAGCAGGACCCAGAGCTTGCTTATATAAGTAGCAACTTCATCACTGGCCACAGCATTGGCAAGAACCAGGCACGCAACAAACAAATGGAGGTGGAGTTCAGGAAGCAAGAGGAGGTAAGTGAGAGATAACTTGGGGATGTCAGCCATCACACTCTCTCCATATTAGCTTCTGAGTGGTGTGGCACTCTGTGAAAAGTCAAGTGTAACTATTTCTAAAGAGTCATTCTGACCCCACTGACCTGTGAGGACCTTGGAACAGGTCTTAAAAATGTGTTTGGAGTTATTTAATGGTTTTCTCTAATCCTGTGAGCTAGCACTTGTGGTTGTGTGCACAGTGAGCACCATGGCAACAACACTTTCTCTTTCTAGACTTTTCTGGGTCAGGTGCTTTTCGCAAATGTTGTGCACCTGGTCACCGGGTTCAGACGCTGCCACTGAATCTGATAAGATAACTACAGGAAGAAATTGTGCTGAATATAAAAGAAAACTTGGATTTTGAAAATGAACGATGGAGAGATGTGTGGATACCGTGCTAAATTCTTGGTTGTTTTGTTGTTATCACTTCCTGAACTCAGGACCCCTTTTCCTTCTCTGACAGGTTCTTCGCAAATTCCGGGCTCATGAAACTAACCTTCTGATTGCCACCAGCATCGTCGAGGAAGGCGTAGATATTCCAAAGTGTAACTTGGTGGTGCGGTTTGACTTGCCTACAGAGTACAGGTCCTACGTCCAGTCCAAAGGCCGAGCTCGGGCACCTGTCTCCAACTACATCATGCTGGCTGACACTGGGAGGACCAAAGCCTTTGAAGAAGATCTCAGTACCTACAAGGCCATAGAAAAAGTAATGTTTTCTCTTTATCTGACAAGACTGAGATGCTTAGTCTGTTGGCTTAGGGGCCAAATGACCTAATTTTCTCTCAAACAGATCTTAAGGAATAAGTGCTCCAAGTCAGTGGAGGTGAGTGAGTTTGAAGTGGAACAGGTGATGGATGATGACAACATTCTACCACCCTATGTCCTGCGGTCTGAGGATGGAGGTCCTCGAGTCACCATCAACACGGCCATCGGTCACATTAACAGGTGTGGTTTCTGATTTTCAGAATGTTTTTCTTTCCAGCTCAAATACTTTGTTATTGATCGAGACTGCCGGTTGCTCCAAACAGCCTCTTTTTGTTTGTCACTTTAAATCCATGTGAACTGCTGCCCACGGTTTCTGCTTGCATGGAGCCAACATATACATGATACTGCTGCTTCTTTTTCTCTCACTCATCATTTTACATGTCAGTATAGCTGAAGACAGTACAGGGTTCCCAATCCAGTGAAAGTGTCAGACACACAGTCCAATCGCCATCGCATCAGCACTAAGTTTGTAATAAAGAGATGAAGTGTTTGCATGTTGTCTCTGTGCCAGTGTGAGTTTCCTCGAGGTGTGTGTGTTTCATTCATGATTCCTGGGTACAAGTGGCAAAAAACAGTAAAGCACTTTGAGATGTGAGAAAGAACCAGCAGAGCTCTGTATCTATCAAAATATTGCCATAAATATTTGAAAAGGTCTTTCTGCCCTGGTGTTCAGGTATTGTGCTCGGCTGCCCAGCGACCCATTCACACACCTAGCACCAAAATGTAAAACCGTGGAGATGGGGGATGGATGTTTCCAGTCCACTCTCTACTTGCCTATAAACTCCCCTCTGCGAGTTCCTGTCAAGGTAAGGAAGGCTGTTATAGTTTTCAAAATTGCCAGTGTAAACATTTTGACGTGCTCCTTTTATATTTCTAAAGGATGATTGATATTTTGACTTGCACCTACAGGGTCCAGTGATGAATTGTGCAAGAGTGGCAGAGAAGGCAGTTGCACTAGTATGCTGTGAGAAACTCCACAAAATAGGTAAAACCACAATAACAATCTTGCAGACTAATCTTGTTATTTTTGTCTTCATTGCTTCATCTTTTGCCTCTTCCTTCTAAGGTGAACTGGATGATCACCTGATGCCCGTGGGAAAGGAGACGGTAAAATACGAGGAGGAGCTTGATCTTCACGATGAGGAGGAGACCAGTGTCCCAGGCCGGCCTGGTTCTACGAAGAGAAGGCAGTGCTACCCCAAAGCTGTACGTCATGCTCATTACAGGCAGGCATTTGATGCAGGGAGGGCACGGCTGAACCAGTTTACAGACTGTTTTTGAAGTAATTCAGCTGCAAAAATCTGAGGTGATATGGGGGGATGGGGGGGGGTCAACTGGCTGTATCCAAACTCATCACTGACTCTCTGGATTGGCAGAACCTTGCTATATCGCACCAGTAAGTAAATGTGTTGGCATATACAGCACTGTGCTCCCCTCATTTCTTTGTATTCTGCTTCCTCTAAAGTAGGCTTTAGCAGTAGTACTCCAGACTTCTTTAAAGAAAAACTGTGAAACACCTTAGATGCTGGCTGCTTTCGTACTTATCAGTCCAGTTTCAGTGCCTGACATTTTCAGAGCCAAGTTAAGCCATTTAACACTGACTTTTACATTAGCAAAGACTCATTTTTACATTGTATCTTTAAATGCTTTACTAGCAGCCTGTTGCTAAAGCACACTATTTGCTTTAGTTTAGCAAACTGTAAACTTGCCAAAATATGACATGGTGACCTTTAAAAAAGGAAGGAAACTGGACAAGTGGAGGTCAACACAAGTAGCAGGCCTAGAAAAAATAATCAGCAGGTGAACGGTATCTGAACGGTGCACTTCATCCAGTGTGGTTGGAATTATGATTGAAGGAATTACGAATGCAAGAAAAGTACAGTCATATTTTGATCCGCAGTGCACTACCATATGGAAAACATGTTACTGGTTAATGTTGAATGAGTTTTCATCCCAAACGCACTGCCAGTGCAGTAAAGGCAAACCCGGATAGAGAAACATGAGGGCTGACTCAATGAGCATACAGTACTGTGCAAAAATCTTGTGTCCCGTTTCTGCCATCTCCAGATACCGGAGTGTCTGTGTGACTGTTATGCAGTACCGGAGCAGAGCTACTACCTGTATGTGATTGGGATGGTGCTCACCACTCCCCTCCCTGATGAGCTCAATTTCCGTAGAAGAAAGCTCTACCCGCCAGAGGACACCACCAGGTGCTTCGGCATACTGACTGCCAAACCCATACCTCGAGTACGTTGCTTCGGCACATTTGAGTACCTCAGTGCTTCACAATATTCTTCAGCATTTATTCTGTAGACGTGTTATACATGTGAAAACGAGCAGCTTTGCTTTGATCCAGATTCCCCATTTCCCGGTGTACACTCGCTCTGGTGAGGTGACCATCTCCATCGAGTTGCAGAAGTCTGGCTTCACGCTCACCACTGCCCAGCTCGACCTCATCACTCGTCTCCACCAGTACATTTTCTCCCATATTCTCCGCCTGGAGAAACCTGCACTGGAGTTCATGCCCACAATGGCTGACTCTGCTTACTGTGTTCTACCTCTGAATGTTGGTGAGTGCTCAGTTCAGTTTGTAAATTCATTTCCACCTGTGTTAAAATGTTCGTTAACCATCTTTCCTTCTCTCCTTTGGCTTCTTCAGTTGGAGACTCCAACACACTAGATATGGATTTTAAGTTTATGGAAGGCATTGAGAAGTCTGAGGCCCGCACTGGCATTCCTACTACTCAGTACACAAAGCAGAACCCCTTCACCTTTAAGCTGGAGGACTACCAGGATGCTGTCATCATTCCAAGGTAGTGGAGCGGCACGTGTCTGTACTGGATTGATTTTGTGTGAACGTGTCAGCTGTATGAAGTATACGCTGAGCCAAACGACGTGATAATCGCCTCGCTGCTACTTTCCAGGTATCGCAACTTCGACCAGCCTCATCGCTTCTATGTCGCTGATGTGTACGCAGACCTGACACCACTCAGCAAGTTTCCTTCGCCAGAGTATGAGACTTTCGCTGAGTACTACAAAACAAAGTACAACCTGGACTTGTCAAACCTTAACCAGCCGCTCCTGGATGTAGACCACACCTCCTCCAGGTCAGTGGCACCAAATCTGGAGCCAGGTTCATAATTATGTGGACAAGGACAGTTTTCTCAGGCATGTGAGAAAACACAGAAAAGCACAGAAGCAGATATGCGATTCCACTTGGCTTTGCATAAATATTGTGTTGTTAGGAATTGGAGCAATTTTTATTTTTAGGAAGTACCTCCCTTCCTGAATAATAATGTTATAGCCAAGAGTGGAGTCTGTACTGGTTATTTCATGAAAGGCAATAAACAGATTAATGCAATTTCCAAGTGTGAATATGCTTACATGCTAGCTTTTATGAGAACTGTCAATATGTAATCCACAGAAGTGTGGAATAAAGGTCAGGAGGAAAAAGGCAAACCTGGGGGGGTGCTTGTTTGATACTATGCGTATATATATAAATTTAAATGTTCACTATGGTGACCAGGCTTTCCAACTCTCTTGTCCCATCGCAGACTGAACCTGTTAACCCCTCGACACCTAAACCAGAAGGGCAAAGCCCTGCCACTCAGCAGTGCAGAGAAGAGGAAGGCCAAGTGGGAGAGTTTACAGAACAAACAGGTACTCGCTGCCTCTGTTAGATTGTAGGGTGAGGAGATATCCATCAGTGTAGGAAACCTAGTATAATTTTGTGTGTAAAGGAACATGGGACATGCTCATATTTCATTTTTGTGTGTTTTTAAAGAACGTTTCTAGATATCACTTTACTGCTGGTTAGTACAGTGGTCCTGTTTCCATCCACTGGTCAGCTGGAGTCTTTCTGTGTAGAGTGGGCATGTTCTCCCTGTGTCTGTGCTCGGGGTTCCTCCCACAGTCCAGATACTGGTTCTGAATTGGCTGTGGGGTAAACGCTCGTCTCTCTGGCTCCAGCCCTACTGTGAATTTGAACTGGAAAAGAGGATGGATTGATGATGATGATGATGATTATTATTATTACTGATTTCTATAACCTATTATATCAAAGAATACTATTCTCAAAGATGCATTATTTAATATGGCATGATCATGTGTGTGGACAGGGTTGATGGTGATCTGTTAGCTTTCAGGAATTATTAGACCAGTGAGTGCCAGAGACGAAGTCTTGTTGTGAGTTGCTGTTTATTCCGACAATCCCAGTCTCATGTGCTTTGTTTGTCGTCAGATCCTGGTCCCAGAACTGTGTGCCATCCACCCTATTCCAGCCTCCCTGTGGAGAAAAGCAGTGTGTCTGCCCAGCATTCTTTACCGCCTACACTGCCTGTTGACTGCTGAGGAGCTCAGAGCTCAGACAGCTAGTGAGGCCGGAGTGGGAGTCCAGACCCTCCCCCCTGACTTCAGGTTGCTGTTACATACACAATAGAATAACAGATTTCTGCGTCACACTTTCCAAAAGATTCATACACAAACACAATTAAAACTGTTCATTGGAGTGCAAGTGTAGAAAATGGGTGACTGTTGGTTAGATTGTAAAGCCTTTTGACTTATTAGACTAGGAAAGGACTATATAAATGTTGGTGTCCTCAAAATTGCACATTTTTTCCTATTGCACAGTAAAACGAGTTGATTGCATGATAAAGTTGTTAGAATGCTGATGTGGGTGGCACATGTCAAAGTAACATCCACAAGAATGGCCAGACCAAAGTGTCCCATTGGGACTTGATGAGTTAGTGTTAATGTCTGATCTTAGTTAAGAAAACCAAATCTTCTCTTTTAGGATTTGTTGTTTGTGAACAACTTGTGTGTGTGTGCACACGCTAACATGTAGATGCTCTGTATGTGGCAGATATCCAAACCTGGACTTCGGCTGGAAAAGGTCTATTGACAGCAAAACCTTCATATCCTGCCCTGAGTCCTGCAGCGAGGAAGGTGCCAGTCACTGTAAGCACCAAGAGACTATAAGCCCTGATCCCAGTTCCCTAATGCTTCCCAGTGGTGAGCACTCTTCCATGTCTGAGCAGGAGGACTTCAAAGCTTTAGATTCTGAAGAAGCCCCCTGCACCAGGAACCTAACTAATGGCACTGCCTTCTTTGCTAGCTGTGACGATGGCAACCAAAATGAGCACCTTCCCCAATGTGACAATTGCCAATGCTCCCAGCTCAGCTTTGCTGGGCTGCAGAGCTCCAAATCAGTACAAAGCACTACCTCAGTTCTTGTGCAGCCCCCTCACACCTTGAAGAAGCCCAACTCCAGTCCTCCACAGCCTAGTGATGAATGTACATCGGGGAGGACTTCAGACCACACAAAAAAAGCTACCTCAGTCTGCAGCCGAGCAGCCACGAGTCCCAACACTCTCACAGCACCTTCTGATGTCTGTGCTCGTCCCCAGCATGGATCCCACGCAGCAAACTCACCCAAGAGCTTGGGGCCCAACCCCGGTCTCATCCTGCAGGCCCTGACCTTGTCTAATGCCAGCGACGGCTTCAACCTGGAGCGGCTGGAGATGCTCGGTGACTCTTTCCTGAAGCATGCCATCACTACATACCTGTTCTGTACCTACCCTGATGCTCACGAAGGACGTCTCAGCTACATGCGCAGCAAGAAGGTGAGACGCATGTTATTTCTCTGAACCGTGTGGCAGTAGTAAGGTACAGGCCGTGCATGTGTGTACACAGTAACAGTATATAATGGAATGCAGCCCGGCTGAAGATGTACACACTTTCATCGCTGTCTACAACAAGGCAAATGACACAAAATGACTTGGATGCATTAGCATTTGGTCTGTTGATTAGTGTCATTTGGGAACAGCTGCAAACCTGTTTAAGAACTCATCTTTGCACTGTGTCCTGGCTTGGCTGATGTCACAGTGTCCATTAAGACAAGATGACTTCATTGTGTTACTCACACTCTGCCTGATGTCCAGGTGAGCAACTGTAACCTGTACCGTCTGGGAAAGAAGAAAGGGCTTCCTAGCAGAATGGTGGTGTCCATCTTCGACCCTCCAGTTAACTGGCTGCCTCCTGGATATGTGGTCAACCAGGACAAGAGCAGCACCGACAGAATGAATTCAGAGGAGGTCAGTGGATTACTGCAGCTTTATACGCTCTGTTTTTTTCTCTTTGTTGTGTGGTAGTCGATCGGTGTGTTCGCTGAGGAGTTTCCAAAGGTTGTTTCATGTAATGACGATGACGGGCCAGTAGAGGGCAGACTTTCTCCGTGTTTTGCAACTCGTGGTGAGATTGTGTGCTTGCATGTCGAACAGGTCTGAACTCTCATCTGAACTCCTGGAGCTCAGATAATGTTTTTCATAATGAAGGTTAAAAACCAAAATCCTTCGACACACTCTTTTATACACCACTTGGGAAAAACAGCTTGAAATAAAACACAGTTAATGGTCAGATGTGAGCTAAAAAGGAACAACCTAAAACAGAAAAGACTAAAATCTTTTCCTTTTAGATAATAACCTTCAGTGAATCAAACCATATGCCCAAACATCCAGTCATTGAACATTTTAAGGAGATCTATTTTTGAAGTGATGATGATGATACATACCATAAAATTAGATGTTCACCTGACAGTTTGTTCATGGTTCGTGTGGTGCTAGCTTTCTATATACTTTTCATCCCTGGCATCCCTTTTCGTCATCCACATATGGAGGTGGGAAATTACACAATGCTGTATAGCCTTTGCTCCAGATTGTACCAATAATCTATGAAAGTCTGTTGCTAAGAGAACAGGCCAAAGACAAATTCAACTTTATGCTGAACTGAAAGTAACCTGGTGCCCCACATGATTTTAATTAGGCACATTATGTGCATCAACAGTGCTTAAAAGTGGCATAACAAACGAGATGGACTAATGCTGTGTGAATGCAGGAAATATCCAGAGTGCTGAAAACAGGCCTGCGATACTGTGTTTGTGTTGAATGATATACTGTCCCAGAAATAACTGCAGGAAAATGTAAAACAGAAATAAATTGCAATAAAACTAATGCTTAACAATAAAAAGCAGTAAAACACTGAGACAGGCTCATTTTCTAATTTAGTTCAGATAGCAGTCTCCTCTGTGTTTTTACAGAAACACTCACAAAATGGAGCAAGACACAGTCGCTGTGCACAATTAGACTTTTATTAAGAGTTTAGTTATGTTTTTTGATAATGCTTAGGACATATCGTCTGTTAATGTCAATGTGTAGTCTATATATGCATACTTCACTAAACACACATTAAACTGTAGGCTATGAATGACAGCTCACATACTTAAAGTTGCATTTTGATAAATTTTGCCTCTGGAAACCTGCTTCAGCAGACCTGATTACGTTATTGTTATTGGTTATCGATTTGATTCCTTATCAATTCTCATTGGCTCCACAGCATATCAATGAGATTACATTCATGCTAATGAGCTGTGTGCTCAAATGTTTGTGTGCGTTGGAGGCGTTTCTTCTCTTTGTTGTGTGATCAGTGTTGGAGTTATTATTTTTAAAAAGGTAACGTATTACATACATGACACAGAACAATTTTGTTAAACCTAATGCAGTACATTACTTAATTACTCCCAGGAGAAAGTAATTTGTGCTGAAGAGACTTCAGTGATTATACTATAGAAATATGAACTATTGATTTTTGGACTATATTGACTTTTTTTTTTCCCTCATGCAGGCCAAAGAGGAGCTTTTGGCTAACGGGCGATCTGGACACGAATATGATGAGGATGATGACGAGGGCGAGGATGTAGATGAAGATGGCGAGTTGATGCTGAAAGATGAGCCAAAAGATGAAGTGAACATGGAGGATGATCTTGAGTATTACAAGGAGCACATCCGCTTCATTGACAACATGTTGCTGGGATCTGGAGCATTTGGGAAGAAGATCTCGTTGAGTGGCTTCCCTCCCAATCTTACTCCAGCTTCAGGCTCCTCACCAGCTATGGAATCTCCGTATGATTGGAAGACCCCCAAGAAGCCCTCCCATCCAACCGCAGCTCATTACCCCACAGAGCAGGTGCCCAGTGGGCCCTCACCTGAGGAGTTTGACTACAGCTCGTGGGATGCAATGTGCTACCTGGACCCCAGCAAGGCCGGTGAGGAGGATGACTTTGTGGTAGGCTTTTGGAATCCATCGGAAGAGAACTGTGGCACTGAGCTCGGTAAGCAGTCCATATCCTACGACCTGCATACAGAGCAGTGCATCGCAGACAAGAGCATCGCTGACTGTGTCGAGGCTCTGCTAGGTTGCTACCTGACCAGCTGTGGAGAGAGAGCTGCACAAATGTTCCTGTGTTCACTGGGCCTCAAGGTGAGCTCGGAATGCATCGCAATGCAGAAACAAATGAACACGCACAAAAATGAATCAATTGAGAATCCTAATAAAACCACATGTCCTTTTGATGAGCATAAACATGATGTGGAATATTTCCTGCCACTGCTTCTCCCTAAGTTTTTTATTATAACATCTATAAAAGAGTTCCCCGATTTTGGAGAATGCACTTTTTCCTTTGCCTGTTTGTTCTTTCAGGCTTGTTTAGCATTTGCAGAGAACCTGAGTAGTCCAAAGTGAAAACCACAGATGAAAGTGGCTTCTTCAAATTTAGATTTCACTTTTGTAACAGTGGAAAGTGGCAAATACTTTGTTACTGTGTTATTTAATAACTATAGAAAAAACTAAACCTGGGCCTGAACTTAATACATGAATTATAATACTGATTAGGATGTACTTTACCAGCTTTCAGAACAAACTTTTTATTACTGTTCATTGTTTTGCTGTTGGCCTCAGCTTTGCAACACGCTTCACTTTTGGTCTTATATGTTCCTGACTCAGTTCAAATAAATAGTTAATTATATTTGATAATATTTTTATATTAATTATAAATAATTCAGATACATGTCAGTTACTGAACATGCCAGTTAGGCGATCGCAAAGTTAAGCAAGCTCCTCCCCCTGCGTCCTAACATGGAGTTTATGGAGTTTGAGTGGCGACATGCATTGTTCAGGAAAACATTGCAGTGATGTTAATGATGTTAATTTTTGTGATGCATAAAATATTGAGAATTATGGACCGAGTACTTGCATCAGCTCAAATCTGGAAGGACCCAAGCTTTACAGACATGGCACTGTTTGAAAGTAACGTTTTAAAGAATGCAAGGCAAAACTCTCTCTCTCTCCTATTATTATTATTATTATTTTTTAATAAAACGACAACAGGTTTTACCATTGGAGAGAGGTCCACCGACTGGAGCAGCGGCACAGGTTCACACTCATACTCAAGTCGCAGACCTGTGTTACGGCTGGCTCAAGATCCCACCCCGCTGCATGCTGGACCATCCAGATGCAGAACGAACTCTCAACCACCTCATATCTGGCTTTGAGAACTTTGAAAAAAAGATCAACTACACTTTTAAGAACAAGGCTTATCTCCTGCAAGCCTTCACTCACGCTTCCTACCATTATAACACCATTACAGGTCAGTAAACCTTATGCTTTACTGACTTTGTCCTTCATTCTTAGTTGTGCATCTCCAGTTGACAAATCTGTGCTTCTTTCACTTTTTCTTAGATTGTTACCAGCGGCTGGAGTTTCTTGGCGATGCAATTCTAGACTACCTCATAACAAAGCACCTTTACGAAGACCCACGGCAGCACTCTCCTGGAGTACTGACCGACCTGCGCTCAGCGCTCGTCAACAACACCATCTTTGCCTCTCTGGCTGTTAAATACGATTATCACAAGTACTTCAAGGCCATCTCGCCAGAGCTTTTCCACGTCATTGATGACTTTGTGCAGTTTCAGCTGGAGAAGAATGAAATGCAAGGCATGGACTCTGAGGTGAGTCCTGCTTCTCTGAAGAATGTGGTTATTATCGCTTCTGCAGGAACAAGCCTAATCTTTGTTGTTGTAGCTTTGCCCTCTGAAATAAGTTCAAGAACCGCTCGCCGCGAATAACGAGGCTGCCAGCTTTTATTAAGCTGTTTTCATATTCCAACGTTTGGGTTTCATTCGTCTGCAAAAGGCTAGCTTGGCACCAAAATCTCCTTTCGTTGTGCTTAAGGACTTTTATGCCTTAGGGGACAGCAGGCATATAAACAAGAACGCATTTATAAAAATAAAAAAGTGAGAGAAAGAAATTAAGCAATAACTCGCACACTCTTTCCTACCATAGTCATTGGCTTAATCCTTTCTCAATGTTTCTGCAGAGCGCCCTAAGCTGAACAATAAAATAACATATTTGGGGGTCAAATCAGACAGAAAAAGCTGTAAAAGCAATGGAGAGATGACTTAATGTGAGTTGGTAACGCTAAACAGACAGAGGCTTAAATTCTGCAGCTTTACAGGAAAGTCACTCACAATGTCCCCATTACACAGAAGAAGATTAGGCTGATAGCATAGAGTTAACACAGGGTGGCTGCAGCTCAGGTGGTAGAGCAGGTCACCTACTTAATTGGAAGGGTTATGGTTCGATCCCTGTCTGCTTGGGCAAGATGCTAACCCCATGTTGCTCTCCGGTGCATCCATCGGAAATAAATGCATGTGAATGTTAGAGAGCATAGAAGAAAGTGCTTGTGCAAATGGGTGAATGAGTTGTGTAAAAGTCTTTGAGTGCTAAGAGTAGAAAAGCACTATATAAGAAGCCTCAGACTGGGAACAGTACTGGACTCCATATGTAATTAACTGGGATCTGGTTATTGTGTTGCCATCAGTGCAACCTGTCAGAGTGCAGATAGACATTGAGAAGGGAAAAACTCCCTTTTAACAGGAAGGAACCTCTGACAGAAAGGGGCTCAGGGAGGGGCAGCTGTAACTGGTTGGGGGTGTTACAGCTGTCAGTGTGTCAGCTGACGCACAGCTTTGTTGTTTTTGTCTCCAGCTGCGACGCTCCGAAGAAGACGAAGAGAAGGAGGAGGACATTGAAGTCCCTAAGGCCATGGGAGATATCTTTGAGTCGCTAGCTGGAGCAATTTACATGGACAGCAGGATGTCATTGGAGACTGTGTGGCAAGTGTATTATCCAATGATGAGGCCACTTATAGGTGAGAAAGAGTGGAAGCATGTTTCTCTATTTATTTCTGTGTTTCTTGTTTATCCTCCGTGATTGATGGGCAGCGCATGCAGAGAGCTTGAATGACTGCAAACATTCATGATAATTTGCCACTTCTGTGGTTGTGTCAATTGAATCGTCATGATACCATCTCTTTCTACCTCACCAATCTTCATCCCCTCACCAATTACAGAGAAATTCTCTGCCAATGTGCCACGCTCTCCTGTGAGAGAGCTGCTCGAGATGGAACCAGAAACTGCAAAGTTCAGGTAGGACATGAAGAGCACAGCTTCGCTACACTGACTGTACATACAGGGGCAAAAGTGCAGTGCTTTAAATTTATTAGGCCAGCTGTGATTTTAAAAACAAGGAAATTATTTTGTGTCTTTCAAAAGGATTTTTAAATATCATCACACATTAATCGAGCAAAATATTCCACCACTAAAAGTATTTTTTTCTGTTCAGGAATATATGTAAATAACAGCTTTACATGTACAAATTTATAGATAACAAAATAATTATATTTTCTTTAAGATGGGATCAACTATTAAAGAAACAGAAGAAAGGATTTGGTGGATGCTATTAACTCAGGGCAGCTGAATTTAGTGGTATTAAACTTTTGGACAGTGTGTAATTAGCATAATGATCAAAATATAAAAGGTATACTAATCATACTGGACTAACACTGGTCTCTGACATCTTCTTACTTATGCAAAACTCCATCTCTGGAAGCGTATCATATTTGATTACAAGGGTTTTTGTGTGTTTTTGAGACTTCTACATCATCAGCGTGACTTTTCTTTTTCCTTAAAAAAAATGATATAAATTGCATGATAAATGTTTAATGGCTGAATTGCAAAATGTGGCTAATGTAGCAAATGTGATACAAATTAATACTCATATATGCAGATTCAAATTTGATATATTTTGTGTAAAGGTTCAACAAACACTGTTATCAAAACAATTAAAGATTTCTGGGAGTTATTTCATGGTTCATGTTTTAAAGGGTTAAGCCTCTATATAATCACCTTTTTTCCCTACCTTTTTGAATCATTTCTTATTGGACGTGTGATATTCAACTCAAAGAATGCTGGTATATTACTCAGAATAACAGTTGTTCCCGCTCCTGTCTTTGCAGCCCTGCAGAAAGAACGTATGATGGGAAAGTCCGCGTGACGGTGGAGGTCGTCGGAAAGGGCAAGTTTAAAGGTGTTGGCCGCAGCTACCGGATTGCCAAGTCGGCAGCGGCGCGACGAGCTCTGCGCAGCCTCAAAGCCAATCAACCTCAGGTCCAAAACAATTGAGCTCTCTTACTGAGCTGTCAACATTAGCACCTAAGTTACCGAAGCCGACAGAGCAACGTCGGCTTCCGAACACAGCACGATACTAGCCCTGTATCTTTAGCCTGTGATGGCACAACAACGGCACCCAGGGAACACTGTGTGCAGACACAACAATTGAAGAAGACTGATATCACAGCCTATTTCACATTAGATATTCTACCTTTCTTTTTTTTTGCGCAAACACAATCTTTACTTTTCCTTTCTGCTTTGTGTAATCATGAGTGCTTTATTAACGTATAGCAAGGTGTTTATATATAAAAAAAAAAAAAAGGTCAGGTCACAGTGTCAATTCCCCACTGTTCTTTTTGTTGTCATCTGTTTTTAACCTTGTGTCAGTGAGATGAGGCTTATGCTTATTGTGTAGTATTAGATTGTACATAGTTCAATCAGAGGTGTATGTAGGAAGAAAAAAAAAAAAAAACGCTAAACCCCTCAGCCTGTGCACTAGTGCCAGTCAGTTTTAAAGCGGTTTGTAAAATGCTAACGGCAGACGTGGCTAACAGATACCACTGGAGCGAACACCTGGTGGCATTTCTGTCTAATCTGTCTTGAAATGTATTCTTGATCAGTTTTGCACTTATTCCATTAGGATCTGTTATTTTTAAAATGGTGTGGTCAGATTGACACCAAAATCATATACGTAGCAAAGTATATAAATATATATGAAATGCATAAATGATATTATCGGCCTTAGATGCTAAGGCTCACCGTCATCCTGCAAAACGGATAGGAATTACAACATTCCCAGTTACTGTAATTTAAACTAGTTTCTAACCGCACTTGAGGTTGCATGTTCTTGTAGCTTATGTATAAACCGAGACAACTGGATGGCTTCTATAAATGTTTCAAGTCTACGGCTATATGTAGTGCGACAGCCAGGTGAGATGTTTAAGGCATTATCTCTGCGATTTGGTTTTAGCGATGCTAAGAGTGGATGGAGTCGACTTGGTCAGTCTTGCGCAATAGATGTCTTTCCACAGCAAATCATCCAGTTTTGATACGAGGAAAAAAGAGAAACTCACCCGTTCAATATGCTGCAGAATTTTCTATGAGTTGGATACTCGTGTGTGACACGGAATCTTTTCAGACCGTCTTTGTGAACAAGACCAATTCATTTCAACAGTGTTCCTCACATCCCTTACCTACCAAAGCTATAGTAGATGTGACACTATGAGAATGAAGTCAGTTCCCGAGGGTAAGAATACCAGCCTCGTCTGTGGTTTTTGCTTCTTGCTAAATGTCTCCCCCCTCGCCCTCATAAATAAGCCCTTTTCACTTGAATACCTCAGTTAATTGCATGCATTTTCTTGTCTTTGTTTTTCTTTTTTGTTTGGTGCTAATTTTTTTTTTGTATTAAGCTTGAACTTCTCATCTTTTTTGCACTGTAACTATAATACCTCTTTATTTGACCTCCTTTTTTTTTTTTTTTTTTTTAACTGTTTAGTTTGTTGGTCTTGTTTGTTTGCTATAGAGCTGTAAAGGAAAGCTGTGTGGTCGACTCTTCTCCCCTCTCATACTTGAGGCACTTGATGATTTTTAGAGGGCGGGGATAGGAATTGTTTTCTCTGCACATAAATTAGTTTCATCATCTATTCATTTCAAACAATTTAGAGTTTCCTTTCGAATTCAGGGGTAAAACAGACGATTGATTGATCACACGAGGATACGTGCTTGTAGAGGTAATCGGATTGCACTCTTAAATTTGCTCCAAAAAATAGGCGGTGAAAATACTTGACTTAACTCTTCAGTTCTGTCTTCATAAATAAGGGTTGGAAAAGACTTTTACCTGTGTGACACCTGAACTGTTAGTATAGCGATCTGAAATCTAATCGGTCACAAAATCCTCCACACAGGTCTTCTACCTCAAAGGACCGTCCTCTCAGTGTTCATTTCTGCACAAGACTGAAGTTCAGTTCAGTGCACTCTGACAGCGCCGTCTACATCAGATCTTCAGTATACAATAAGCCAATCTCCAGTTCCATCATAATGATTTGCGTCGCTTGTCTTGAATCAAAGATGTGACTCAGATCTTAGTGCCTTCTGTGGGAGGAAACCAGCGTGTGCACGGACTAGATCGCAGGCCCTGCTCGTATCTGATGTTAACAAGGCTATTCAGTGTTCTGATCCAAAGTGGACAGCCCACTTCACTCCGTCATTAGAATGCATCTCCGTGGGTGTAGAGTACCACTCGTGATTGGCTCTCAGTCCTCCACTCTGTATGCAAATATGTGCCTGCCTTGACGCCGTTTTCAAAAACCACATGCCAGATCCTGCACGGGTGCATTTTCCAAACCAGCGTTTGCCCGTACTCGGACGGCTCGGTCATTACCTGTAGTCGTCTCCAAATCCAGATGACTTGCCATGTATGGGCTACGGACAATGTTAGCTATGATGCTTGACCAAGGTGGGTCATTGTTTAGAGTGGGTCTGTGGAAACTGACTTGGGGAACACTGAAAAGGAAAATGCCTGGTGAAAGCATTTAGCTGCAGGATTGGATTTTTGGCCTGGAGTTTTGTTTTGTTTTACTGGCAGGGTTAGTGGAGTCAGTGGAGTAGCCTCCTGAGTAGCGTTGTTCACAGCATCTTCAGCGACACACTGAATACACAAATCAACATGAATGTATATGTTCTTGCTTTTGATCTAAACTCCGTAATTAAACTGAAGATTATTCCTAAATAAATCATGTCACTGATTGGCTCCAGTGTCCTTGGCTGACTGAAGACCCACTGCAGACATTTTCTAACTCTGACCCATGCTAAGTGTTACTAGAGAAAACATAAACCTGAGAACTCAGGACAGGAACTGGCTCTGACTGGGTGCCCGAAAGGGTTCGATCAACAACAGAGGGCAGAAGTATTCTGTGTTACAAACACCCAAACGAAGTTCAGACTGATAGCTGCTGCAGTACGGTAGTTTTGAATATGGCCACAAATTCCAAATTTCTGTTGACCCGTTTGTTGCAGCAACCTGATTCTTTCTTTTTCCCAGATTCCCATTCACTTCCTTTGGTCCAACAGAATACTACGTGAAGAGTAAATGTGAAACTTTGCAACACTTCAGTCCACCTTTTTCCAGCTTATCACTGTCAGAGTGCAATCTGTTATTATTTCTCAAGCAGGCAGAGTGGAACTATGAAAACCAGGCTGTGATTTCTCATTCCCCCATTAGAGACACTGTGGGCTATCAGTTTCACCCTGCCACTCCTCACTCTGTAGTAAACACACAGAGCTGAACACACTAATCATCAGTGAGACTCTGGGAGGGACAGAAGAGGGATTATTTTAAAAAAAGAAAACAAATGTGAAATCGCTCGCGGTGCCACGCCCACTGTATTATGTGTGACCGATGGAAAACAAGGATCCTTTTCAGATGGAGATGAAGACGTGTGTGGGAGTGCTGAAATTAAGGTAGCCCTGGATTATTTGGAGTGGACGATGTTTTCTTCTACTGGCAAAGTTTTTTTCTTTTTTTTTTTTTTTTTTTTTTTTTGTACATGTAGCACAATTGAGCATTGCACTTGGGCGCCATACCTTACCTCATGTCAAAGTGTGAAAGGGACTGAACAATGGAGGAAAAAGCAGTGTGTGTATATATGATGCCATGTTATTAAGGACTAACTTGTGGTTTGCTGCTGTCTCAGTTGCTGGTGTTACACAAATCTATGTTTAAAATGAGAGAATGAGACGATTGGAGAGGAAAGATAAAACCGTGCCTGCAGGCTCTCACCTGACAAATACACTGTAAGAAGAATCTCTGTAATTGGGGCTAAAATGTCTGGATGTCATGTGTCGGATATCCTGCCTTAAATGTGTTTGGAAATGAATTGTAAAGTTAAACTGACACTTTGAATTGAATCCTGCTTTGTCACAGAATGCAAACTAGCCCACCACAGGAGGAGAAATGAGGCTGGCACATGTAATCAAACTTCCAACCTTTTGAGAACCTAAAGGAAAAATCTACTCATGCCTGTGAGAAGCAGCTCACATGAGCACGTCTGCTCTTCAAGTGTAGGCTGAAAGTGGTCTGTCATTCAAACGAATTGGACCATAAACTGTTTACATTTGATTGTCTGTGATCTTCTGTGAATTCTTTGCCTGTAAAATTACTGCTCGTTTTCGCCGTGGATGTAATTAGAATGTTTTGACACCAATCATGAAAAAAGTGACACTTTGAAGTCAAACTATATAGATTACTGTAGTAACACTGTTTGGTCTTCAAGTTGGGATTTATCAGAACACCTTCAGCATCAGCAGCAGTCTTCTTTCTGCAGCTGTTATAAACGAGCAAACACTGCACTTCTTGGTCCTTTGTGCAAACTCCAAGAGTTACTATGGAGACTCTAAAGTGGGTCTCCTCCAGTAGGTCAAAGTATCTAGCCCATGCAGCTTTGTGTCCACAGCTCACTCTGTAATTTTCCATTTAATTGATGTGATTACATAAAGTCTGTGGAAACAACAAATTGTCCTTTTCAAGGTAGAGTAGAGCCTAACCAAAACAGCAAACTTTCAGTACTGATATATTAACTGATACTGGCTTTGTAATACTTCACCATTGTGTACTGTGGATTTGACAAACTATGATTGTCATTTCTTAATTACATCAAGCGTTCCTGATCTTAAAACAATACATTGTCTCAATAATACTTTATTTTATTTTGAAATGTCAGGTGCTATTACTGATATGGAAATGTTGATGCAGGGTCCACATGTCAGTTTCCAACATGTGTTCCTAATGGCTCTGCTTTAGTGCGAGCTTAGACTAATGGATCTGACGCCTGATTACAGAGTCAGTGAATTTTAAGTCTCGGCGAGGTGTGTGCAGTTTAACAAACAGGGAAGATAAACAAACAGCATATTGTGGTGGTAGAAGTGCTTTAACGTTTATGGTGCTGAAGGTGGACGTGGACTCACTACGGTGTGCTCGTGTATTTGTTTAAGACCTTACAGTGGATATCAGTGGGTACTGTGATGAATGGTATGACAATCTTGGAAAATGGGTAAGGTTTTCTACAATGCTTCATTACAATCAAGTTTCCAAAGTGTTTACATTTTCTGTGAATGACTGTCAGAAAATTCTTTTTTTTTTTTTTTTTTTTTTTTTTTTTTTACATCCACCGTGACATCAGAGTTTCAAATGTTTTTATGTTGGGCAGCCACTAGATCTCTATGTCAGGTCGGCCACATGCATTTGGCTGATTGGTTGTAAATTTGTAAAGCAAATGTCACCGTATCCAGCATTATTGGTGTTTTTTAAGGTGGGTTTTTCCTTCAAGGATCAAATATGGAGTGTAAGAAAACCAACATTGCTTTGTTAAATGTTAAACGGTGAAAAGTGGGGTAAAGAGAGAACTCTTGGCAGCAAGATATTGGTCTCATGAAGCCAACATCGAACATCCTGTTCACCATGCAGCAGAACACCAGCAGAATGGAGCTACACAGATCGAGTGAACTGTTATCAGTATGAGGAATTATGGGCCATCACAACCTGCAGCAAATATATTTAAGGGACTTTGGAATAGAACTCAGTCATACTGTAATACCGTGCTGCAGTGGTTTGCGGTCTGCACCTTATGGGTCACAAATACCTTTAATTCCCCCCCATGTTTTTATAATTGTAGCCTGTTATATCTACAATAAAAATAATGGTATGGTTATTCTGTGGAGTTCATTTTTTTTCTATCAGGTGGAACCCTGCACAGAATCAGGTTGAGTATGTTGATAGGTCAAGCTATAATTAATGGGCAATCAGTTACACTATCACCACCAAATACCAATGTTCTGTTAATGGTAGTTACAGCTACTATAGCCAAACTAGACCCTGGATTTGAATAGTTAGATATATTGGTCAGTGTCACACTCCTCTTTTCTTTTTGTTTGTAATGAATTTATAAATGTGTAGAGAGCCTTTCTGGCTTTCTTCATGAACCATCATGGTGAAGCAGTCCTTTCAAAAACTTGTCCAAACCTTGCTAGCAGTTAGCATTTAGCCTTGCTGCTCTCCCACAGCCCACTTGCAAAGCAATATAATATTCTACAAAGTTGCCAAAAAGTTGATTCTGTTCATCTGGACGCAGGTTTTAGTTGGTTTAGGTTTTAGTGAGAGAAATGTTTCACTCATCCAAGTGACTTCTTTAGTCTCAGCTGACTCCAGGTTTCCCCAACCTTATAAACAGTTCATTGCACAATGACTGAAACTAGCACCACTGAATGAACAATGGGCTGTGAGGTCAGTTCCTTGATCTTTAATATGCAACTGGTCATGACACAGCCCATTGTTCATTCAGAGTTACTGTTTTTTTTCCCACATGTGAGGTATCTTATATATGCTGTCTTTATATTCTGATAAAGGTTCTGAGACTGAAGTTAATTTTGCCAATACTTCTAAGTAACCACTCAGCCACTGAACATCTTTGTTATAATCCCCAGTTTGAGAACCAGGGGGTTAAACGTGTCACTAATCATATTCTGTTTAAAATAAACCTATGATGATCATTCCAGAAAGTATTGTAGGATTTATTTTTACATTTATACATTCAATGGTGTATTTACTGTTCTTTTTCTCCTTCAAACAGTTCAGGTATCACTTTCTAGACTCTGGAGAACTTTCTTGTGGGATCTGCATTGTGTGCCGAGTGCAGCCTGAAATATCATTTTCCACTTTGGTTTTTGTCCTTCAATCATTGTAATGAATGATTAACTGTTACTGTGTGACACAAAGATGAGCTTTATGCTTTATCACACCTACACTGTTTCAAACTGCATCTACTAAGTTCAGAAAGGATAACCGTTCAATATTGGAACAAGTATAAACAGCAGTTAAACCCTTATAATCCAATATTGATTGTAGATGGTATGCATAATCTTAACCACGGATTTATAAAGATAATGTTCATAGATGGTTTACAAACCATCAGGCAATAATCAAACACTGATTTAACATAAACGTTCCTTTGAGATAATGTACAGAAATGAAACAACTGTGAATGTATTTAAGTTGGTTTTTTAAGGTCTTCTAAATGCGTAGGCCATTTATCACTTTTAAGTCTGTCCTCTGATTTGAGCTTGGATGGGTCTAAGCTGCTGAATTCAGCTCTGTATGGAGGTACAGCCACTCGGGTCTGAAACTCATCAACAGCACCCACTATACTGGCTCCATCTCAGGTGCCTGACAACATACCACAGCAGTTAATTCACCCCCTGGGAACCAAACAGGAATACTCAAAGCAGGTTCACCATCAGGGTCACATTTCACTGGACTAAACCGGCTTAGAGGCAGGTAATTTTTCAGTCAGACCAATGTGTCAGTGAAACTTCAAACTTCAATTTGTCTTTTTTTGTTGTTGTTGTTCTTCCCATGTTGAGATGTTCATTCCTATCTGGAATTTATAAAATCTTAAAGGCTAACACATTCTTATAAACCTGTCAAAATGTGAGTTTGTAAAGGAAATCCCCCAAAGGAGCAGCTCAGAGAAAAAGGCTTGTCAACCTGTGAAGCACAGTTCAGGCTACAATCTATGAAAAAGCCTGTAGAAATATTGATTTTTCCATATTTGCATGAAAATGTAATTTAGGATAGAATAGCCCTTTTTGTTATTGTACAATGAAATTGTTGGTGCTACTCACCAACTGTGCAACAAATACAAATGGTATGACAACAGGAATAAATAACAAGAATAAATACAAAACAAGAGAAAGGAGCACATTAAAAGGACAAGTTGCAAAGTGCTTAAATCTAGTGCAAAGGACTTGGTCTGAGTCAGGGGCGGAGCGGGGGGGTGGCTTATGGGGCTTAAGCCCGGGTTGTTTTTTCAGAAGCCCGGGGTCTTTTGGAGTGTAATTTTTTCATAGTTAGATGCCTGGCTGACAACTGTATAAAACAAAAACTACACACAATATTCGAAGCACATAGTGCACACTGTGGGAATTTACGACTGTGCGTGAATCCCCCCTAATATTGGTATGATCCGAGCTCAGGCACTAAGTGACCGAGCGAGGGGGCGGGGCCGCTGCTGCCTGCGAGTGCGCTGTTGGAGAAACGCAGCCAGGCAGACAGAGGAGAACTGAAGTTCGACCAGGTACCAAAGCAAATCATTCGTACTGTACAAATAATGTAAATATGACGGTGAATCATGAAAGATATCAAAGTGATCACTTGACCCATGTTACGTTACTTGCTCTTCAAGTGAATCAACAAATGAAAAGCCGAACAACAACAATGCTGTTTCTTTAGAGAGTTTTAGCTTACACGTGTGTTTATTTCATATTTTCAGTTGTTTCCCTCCACGGCTAAATAAATCGGTTTCAGTAATGCACTGATATACAAGAATGGACATAAGGAGCTTCTTTCAAAGAAAAAACTCTGGTAGTATTTTATATATTATGCTTTGTATGTTGTTCAGTATATTTCTATGCAAAACAAGAGGAACTTCAATACACAGCAGTATATTCACAGCTGAAACCAGATAGTTACACTTTATGGAAAACACAAAAACATCTTTTTACTGCACAACATCAATTTAGAGTAAACTTGTTTTGTTTTGGATAAATAAATATTGAAATATCTTTTGAATTAGTTAAATGTCAGAATACAGAGAGACAGTGTATATGTGCTCCTAAATTTGATGAAAGTGATAAAAATAGAAGCTCTAAGTTTATTGTTAATTAATAAGAAACTGCAGACGATTCCATTCTGAGCTGAAGAAGCTTCTGATAGGTTAGTAGAGTCCATGTGAGTAAACTGGTGGCACAGCTGTGGATGGATATAAGGCAAAACACAGAGGCTGTTTCTTTGACATGGGAACATCAAGAGATGTCAACCAAAACACCAGGAAAAGAACTGTGGAGCTCCATAAGTGTGGCTCAAGTTTGAATACAATTTGGTGCCATTTGCAATTAAGAAATACAGACAGTTTATCTCTTTACTCTTAAAGTTAACAAATATGTTTTTTATATTTATCTAAAAAAATAAACATTTAGTCTGATTTGATGTTACAATTAAAAAAGTGTTTTTATCCGAAGAGTCTGTAAATATCTGGTTTCAACTGTATATTTGATGATTGTCAGCACAGAGAGAGAGAGAGGACAGAACAGAGATGAACAAGAGCAGGTGAGACACACATGTTAGTCACATGGTTGTTTACCAAAAGTATCAGCGTATCACAGGTCCTCATGTATCTCGTACCTAGTGTTTCTTTTTAGGTTTGTTATTTTTCAAATTCTATATTTATTAAGTTTTGCAGCTTGTTTGCACAACAAGGCTAAATAATTATATAAACCTTTCTCAATCTCAATCTACTACCCTTTAGGGCTAAGCCCCGTGTGTATCAAATGTCTGCCTCCGCCTCTGGTCTGAGTAAGCAGTCTGCATGTGAGTGGCCTGAAGGATACTCAGAGCATGGCTGAGATTGATGGTTGGAGGGGTGTGGAATGGTGGTTGTTTACAGTCTAAATGGCCCAGGGGAAGTAGCTGTTTGTGAGTCTGTAGGTGTGGGTGACCTGAGGGAGGGCAACGAATCAAACAGATGATGGGATGGGAGGAGTCACCTGTGATGCAGCACCTGAAACTACGGATACTGGATGCCTGTGCTGGCATTTCTCCTGCGGTGTTGCTATCAGTGTGTGAAGAGTGAGAGAAGAGGGTTGCATTGACAATCCAACACAATGGGCAGCACATTGAACACATTTTATAAGTGATCAGAAACTTGTAAATAACTCATGAAAGAATAAAGTTACGTTGAAACCAAGCACACCATTGTTTTTCTTGTGACGTTACCAATAAATTTGATGTGTCACATGACCCTCTTCCTATTGAAAAAACAAAAGTTGTATCCAAGATGGCCGACTTCTAAATGGCCACCATGGTCACCACCCATCTTGAGGAGTTTGCCCCTCACATATACTAATGTGCCACAAACAGGACTTTAATATCACCAACCATTCCCATGTTATTACGGTGTATCCATATAAATGGCCCACCCTGTAGTTTTAAGAATGACAAAAAATCTTGCTGCATGTTCTCACCAAGCTTTTGCTTTAGCATTCCACTTGCTTCTCATCAGCTGTCATCTGCCTCCAGAGTCCCAC